ATTGTCTTATATATGTTTTTGAAAAAACTTAAATAGTGACCCTCGTATTACCATATGTCAAATCCGTAGTCCAAACAATACCACCAAGCATAGTTTAACTTTGTTAACGGAATGAGGTCGTCGACCCCTGAAACATCGATATTCGAATTCTAGAGCTCAATATCTTTCCAACGACCCCCTAACCGTCAAAATCAATCAATCTTTTCGAAAAATTCCGCATTTTGAAAATTTCATATGATTTTCCTATAAAAGTTATTTTAAAAGTTTTTGATCTTTTTGAAACTTTCTGTGATTAAAGTACACAAAAAACTAAGAATTTTTTGTTCCGGCACTTTTCGATATGGCCGCCATGTTGGCCATGGCCGGCCTCTAAAAGTCACTTTTCAACTTTTTGCCCTATGGTCACCGAAGCGCCATGACTTGATACCCCCCAGACATATGCATATCATTGGAAAGGTCTTGAAGTGAGCTATCGAATAAAGCCATTTGCGGTCCAAAAATTTCAATTTGGAGTGGCCAAATTGGCCAAAAACCAAAAAGTTACCGTTTGGCCGGACACATAATGGTCATTAGCTCGAAAACTAGCCTTTCATGGTCACTTGAAAATTTCACCGATTTTTGGGCCCAAGTCTAAGCTATAAAATGCCGCATAGCTTATATCCCTAAAAATTCTTGTCTTCACGATATGGCCTATGATAGTGCGAATATGGCCAAAAATGGCCAAAAAGGAAAATTTGAAGTATTTTATGGGCCAAAATGTACTCCAATGACTCTGTAGATATGCTCTGTGACTAGCCAAACAAAATTGAATAAAATATCGACCGTTTTGGATTGCTATTCCACCAAAAATCGGCCAAATGTACCAAAATTCGAATTTTCACAAAAATGTCTAGATGTATGAAATATGAAATCTTAACAACAAATAACTACATGTTTGATAGTTTCCTCGCATAAGATCGATGAAAAACCGAATCTTATGTCCCCTCCCTCCAGTCCAGAAGGTGGACTATCGTCGGGAGAGGTGCATGCGGTAAGTCACAAATGAAATTAAAAGAAATCTACAAAAATGTTAGTATAAATGGCAAACTATGCAAAAGGTCATGCAAAAATGGCCAATATTTCATGCAGTTGCTGTGGGACCTAGACTTGACCTAACCAGGACAAATGCATATTCGTTCGAAAGGTCTTAAAGTAAGTTCTCAAGTGGTGTCAATTGCACAGCAATGGAATCCCAACTACCGTGCTAGATGGTGTCGACTCGAGTGGACGGATTTTTAAATTTATTTGAACGACGCCATGTTACTATACTTGTCCATTACAACGTACATGTAACAGAAGAAATACACAGTCCATGTCCTCGCTAGTGGACATAAACGATTTGAACCGTCAATGTGAACTAGATCAAGTATAGAACTTTACATAGGATCATATACGATGAATATGGATTACACAGTCTGTTTCAAAATACCGTCACCAATGTCGACACCATTTGACATCAAAATTTTGACAGTAAAAATATGTGTTATTGTTGTTGTCGTTTCATTGCTGTGGTCAATTGCAAATTAAAAATTTCATGTGGCCAAATTGGCAAAAAACCAAAAATTGACCGTTGACCGCACACATAACGGGCATTTTTTCGAAAAAGACTGCATATGTTCTCTTGAAAATTTCATCAATTTAAGCCTCAAGTCAAAGATAAAACAATATGCATACCACATACCACTGAAAAATACCTCTGTTCCTCATTATGAACCATAATTTGTATAAATTACTTGTAAACTATTTTCGTCACAAAATTGATATCAGAAATTTTGTGTTTCAAATTTTGGTTTCGTCACTCGTTCTTCACCTTGATAGAGGTTTTTTATTTGATTACTCATACATTGTGACTAACGTAATGTGCCCAGTTACCGGACACCTAAGAAGCTTGTTTGAATTTGAACTATTTTAGGGAAAAAAATATGTTATATTTCTTATTACTCTTTTCGTATATCGCTACGTTATTCATTTCTCTCTCAAAATATTTTTATAACAGGCGGGTGGATAGGTCTTTGTCCTAACTAAGAAAAAAACATTTTTTTGGCAATTTTATTATTCAACATAGTTGCCTTCGAGGGCGATACAGCGATTATAGCGATCTTCCAACTTTTCGATACCATTTTCATAGTACGAAGCCTCAAAATAGGCCTCAGTTTCGGCAATCACTTCATCATTTGTCTTAAATTTCTTGCCAGCGAGCATCCTCTTGAGGTCTGCGAACAGGAAATAGTCGCTGGGGGCCAGATCTGGAGAATACGGTGGATGGGGAAGCAATTCGAAACCCAATTCATGCAATTTTGCCATCGTTTTCATTGATTTGTGGCACGGTGCATTGTCTTGATGAAACAACACTTTCTTCTTCTTCAAATGTGGCCATTTTTTCGCGATTTCGTTCTTCAAACGCTCCAATAACGCTATATAATAGTCGCTATTGATAGTCTGGCCTTTTTTAAGATAGTCAATGAATATTATACCATGCGCATCCCAAAATACTGATGCCATAACCTTGCCAGCCGACTGTTGCGTCTTTCCACGCTTTGGATTGAGGCAAAAATTCGGTTTTATTGCTGTTAAACAGCTTCAAACATTGCTCCGAATCATCAACACGTTGTTGTTTTTGATCGATTGTGAGCTCACGCGGCACCCACTTTGCGCAGAGCTTTCGCATATCCAAATATTCGTGAATAATATGATGTACACGTTCCTTTGATATCTTTAGGGTCTCAGCTATCTCGCTCAACTTCACATTACGGTCATTCAAAATTATTTTGTGGATTTTTTTGATGTTTTCTGGCGTAACCACCTCTTTTGGACGTCCACTGCGTTGTGCATCGTCTGTGTCTGTACGACCACGTTTAAATTCACGAAACCAATATTTTATATTTGATTGTGCTGGCGCAGAGTCCGGGTAACATTTATCAAGCCATTGTTTGGTTTGCACAGTATTTTTTCCCATCAAAAAACAGTGTTTTATTAACACACGAAATTCATCTTTTTCCATTTTTTTCACAATAACAAAAGTTGTTTCACTCAAAACGCTATATCTCACGAACCAATCGACCGATTGCTGTCAAATTTTGACACGTATCGTTTGAAGGTTCGTACTAACTAAAAATCATAGCAAAAAAAATCCAGTGACGCCATCTATATGTTAGGACAAAGACTTATCTACCCACCTGTTATATTCCACAAAGCCTTTATTTCATTTAAAAAAAATGGAAACAAGTCAACGTGCCTTGGTATCGGACATGTAGTGTCTGCTGATGTACCAGTCATCGGACACAGAGTTGGTACCAGTTATCGGACATAGTTTTTCAGAAAATAAAAGAAAAGCGTGAACGGAGAAATCATGAAATTCTTTTCATTCGATAGGCGATAAAAACCTAATCATTTAGAAAATATGTTTATTTATATTTTATTTTGGATTGTTCGACAAAATTTCGAATTCTTGTATACATCTTAATGAAAGGAATGTCAATTTGGGCACTATTTTCAGAAGTAAATTAACGCGATAATTTTGGAGAGAAATGTTTAATCATTATATAAAAATAATCAGAAAACTTCACTGAATAAAAATATTTTGAAATTAAAATACACTTTTATTATTGAAGTAAACATTTCACTTAGTGGAACAATCCTTTCTGTTTGAAGAACTCTTTAACACAAGAGCGTATATCGTGTCCGATAATTGGGCATTACGATTTTGTATGAAAATGTACCAGATATCGGAAATTGGAAAAAAATGTCAAATCAAACGCTTAAAAAAAATTCTATTCGATAAATTCTAATATTTTTCAAAACATTTAGAATCATCGCTTCAAAAATATATAATTACTGCTGCATAAAAATCTATTTGAATGTTCACTTGAACTGTTCTACCTGTCCGATAAATGGGCAAATACCATAAATAAGACACTTTTTCCTGCCCAGTTCTCAGACAGGTAAAAAAGGTTGAAAATTTATAAAATTGATTTTATATAACAATTAAAATTAAATCTACGATATTTAATTAGTTTAAATGTGAAGTTTCACACTAATGCGTATAATAATGATAAAAAAAGGATATTCATTTGTAATGCAAAAAATAACTTTTAATGCCCTTCAATCGAAAAAACTATGAGCCTTCTTTTTATATATATAAATTTAAGAATATTCGAGTATAAATCGTTTTTTTTAAATACAAAGCAAATGTCCGATAACTGGGTGCTGTCCGGTAACTGAGCACATTACGTTATAATATTTTTATTAATTCCCATTGTTTCTTTCTTTTGTCTCTGTCTCTTTTTTTCTCTAATAATATTGAAAGCGTTAGTTGAACCCATAAGTACCAGAATATACAGAATCGCGATCACAACTACCAAATCTCAAATTTCAGCAATGTAATTTGCTCAGGCAATTTCAATTACTTGCATACTCTTACTTTGCGATCATATTTTTTTGGAATTATTCCACATATATATCAATTATTTTCAATTTATTAATTACATTATTTTAATTTTTTTTATGTGATTAACCCGTAGGTATGCAGGCTCGAACTAAGTACAAAGCACCAATATTGAGGTAACATGTTGATGGAAATAATTAGGCCAAAATATGAAATATGAATAAAAAATGTTCCGTACACAGGTCGAAACGAGAAAAAAATCGCGAAAAGTATTCAAGTCTTAGTGAATCAATGAATAATTTATCGTATGGTGGTGGTATGAGTATAATGGATTTCAATTCAGTGGCAGATCCATATGAAAGGGGACGCAAATCCAGCATTATGTCTGTTTCAATGACATCATCTATTGCAAGCGAATGGTGAGATATTGTTTGATTTCATCTATAAATTTGTTTCATTGCACGTTTAACTCTTTAATTTTGTAATTTTCAGTGGTTATTCTGATAAATACGATCCATTTATATCGGCCAAGCGTCAGTTAGAAGATCTGTTCAATCCATCTTCAAATCCAGTGACATCTTCGATACCGAATAAAGAAGATCGGTCATCGAGCGCAGCATTAACTGTAAAATTACCATCTAGTCCAATAAAAAATCAAAATCTACCTAGGTCAAGTTTTCGACGAACATCATCACTTCGTATGCCGAAAAAAACGTCATCAATTTCATACATGCCAAAATATAAGCCATTAATTCAACGTGGCATCTCCGATGAGGGTCCCATTTCATCGAATTTCATAAAACCCGAAGATTATGACGAACTTCCAGTTAAAAATCATGCAATTATTCCACCTGATTTAGTTCCAAAATCGCATAATCCAAATCAAAACGAACCACCTATTGCATTTAGGCGATATACAAACAGCGCAAATCGTTGGAATGTAGATTTAAAAAGTGGTGATTTTCCATTAACAAAAACTGATTCGTTGGCTGCATTCCTAAAATTTGAAGATGATTTGGAGTGTACACCGTTGAAAGATGTACACCTATCGGAATTAAAAGACAAAAATAATATCATGAACAAAAAATCAATTTCAGAACAAATTGATAATAAAATAAATGACCCAAATGAATTTGGTGGAGATCGACAGCCAGCAATTGAATCACCATTGAAACAAAAAAACAATCCCATTAAATTATTGCCAATTGAAACGCCATTGATTCAGCATAAGATAATGTTGGAACCACTGATCGCCAATCTTCCTGCATGCAAAAATAATATTAATCATAACCATAATATAGAGAATAGCAACTCCATAGATTCGAACTTTATTAATTCATGTGATAATTTAAGAATAATCAATTTTTCGAAATTAACCAATGAGTCTAGTCTAGACTTTGATCAGTCGAAAAATGTTGTGGGTGAGTCCAAAAATAATTTGGTCACAAATACGAACAATTCGATGCGCTCTTCGTCCAGTGCCGAAAGTATTGATTCGCATCAAAAAATGGAGATGATCGTGAACTTGAAAAATATCAACGACACTGATAAACGCAATCCAAAACGTCAAATGCAGTTAGACAAAAATAATTTATTATTCGATAATGCAATAACCATTGAATTTACTACTGATAGTAACATTGATCAAATAAACAAATTAGAAGACGATTCAAATGATAATAATAACAAGAATAATTCAGCACTCACGGTGTCACCGATTAAACGAAATTTGTTGTTGAAATCTGACAACGATGGTGATAAAATTTTGGCAAAAGATGTACAAAACATCGAGACTCTTTTCGATGATTTCGATTTGGAGGAGTTCATCTCATCGTTCAGTGACAATGAGCAATTTCCAATTTTCAAAAATTACAAGCAAATGGTGTCATCAAGCCGGTTTTCTAGTCGTGAAAAACATAGCAGTGAATCGACCAGCGAAGAATGTGATTCAATTAATCACGAACATTTTAATAAGTTAGAGATAGAGGAAAGAGTTGAACTTTTAAACGGGAAATCGCTTGAAAAACCAGATGTTACGGTCGAAGCTGACAAACAGATGCAAATCGAATCCGAGCTTCATAAAATTGTACAGAAAAAACATACTACTGATAACAAACTGAGTCAATTAAACGATATATTGGACGAAAAAAGTACAATGTCGCAAGTGGAGCGTGAGCTTTTGACAAGTTTACAAGAAACTCTTGATCTTACTTCCAATGTTTTTACACCGAAAAATGATGAATCCATTGGAATGGAGGCCACTTTCAAGAGGTAAATTATTTACATAGGGAAAAACATGATGAAGATGACCTTTCCCAGGGCCGAGATAGAAAATTATTCGATTTGAGATCAGGTTGTTGTGCGTGTGTTCCTAGGGGATATCCATGCGAATTAGAATTAGCACATTAGCAAAAAAATAGGGAAATTTACATGAAGAAAATAGCAAAATTAGCAATAAATAGCAGAATTAGCACTGTACACGTATATACTTTAGTAAGCATTTATTCTTGAATATATTGAAATAATTAATTAAAATAAAATTCACAAAACAAACGAATTGAATAGTGTTGAACTAAAATGTATCAAAAAATGTAGTTAAATACGCTTTTTCTCATTTTTAAATAAAAATATATTCAATGGCACGTAACCAAGCACGTTTCATCTGTATTAACTACAATTTACGAATTGCAATCGGAAATGTAGATTTGATGACAGATTTCTTACTGAAAACGTATACGCTAGTGCCTGCTTCAAATATACACGTTGAAAGTGTCAACTTGAAACATTTATGTAAACACATTTCAGTTATTACGTTGACGTACTAGAGAAATTAGCAAAAAATAGCAGTATTAGAACAAACTAGTAGAAATACTAGCAGAATTAGTGAAAACTAGAGAGAAATAGCGTTTATTATTATAAATTATTCGATCTGCAATTCACGGTTATCCCCTAGGTCTGTTCCACGACGCAGGTGATCGTTTTCATTCAGCCATTTTCTTCTTTCTAGTAGAAGTGTTTTTAAATCTGGTTTTATTTATTTATTTGATTTTTGACCAAATTTGTACACTTCATCCTGATCTTATAATAATAACAATAACTGCACCGAATACTCTTGATGGCTTATTTCAATGAAAAAAACATATATAATATAATTTAAATTATTATTCTTTATTTATGTGTATATTAATTTTTTTTCATAGTTTATTCTTACAATCTCCAAATGAGAAAATAGGAAATGGATCCATTCGCTTTAATCATCGTAGTGGGACACAAAGCTATCAAAGGCAAGAAATATTCGGAGTAGCTACAAATAATGGAAATAACAACGATTTGAGCTGTTTGAATGTGCCACCAAAATCACCACTAACACCAACGATTGATCGTATTTTTCACCCAATCACCACTGTACACAAAAATGATTCACAAAATATTTGCAATACAATCAACATGACATCAAGCTATACCGACGATCAGTCGGGCACTGATTCGATGAATCCAAGTGATTGGAAGTTCTCTTCACCATTGTCACCCAGAGAGTCATTAAAATTGTCAAAATTTTGCTATGAGTGTGGTGCGAAATTCATAGTGGAACAGGCAAAATTCTGTATGGATTGTGGCGCCAAGCGAGCAATTCTTGATTAGATATCTATTCACTATGTTAACTAAAAAACAAAGTGGCCTTAGGTTGAGAAATTTTATAAAAAATCAGCATGTTCTATTTTTTTGATGCGTTTTGAAAATAAAAAGGCACAATTATTTTAACAATGAAATCAAATGAGCTCTATAATTTACCATTAGTTTTCTATCTTACAAATAAACTATTGATTAATTATCTTATTTTGGTCTACTAATCAATCAGAAATGAAACAAAGAACCAGGGGAATATTCAATCAAACTGTAGTTTCAAAAAAAATTCTAGTTTTTATAGTGCGTGAAGTTGACCCTTCATATACAATGTGTATATTTTTTTTTACTGAGAACCAACTTCACGCACTAGAAACACTAATCTACTGTGCTAGTTGCTGCTAGTTTCACTAGTTTTTCTAGTATGAATATCCATCCCCTTGCAAAAAACACTTGAAAATATTTTATTTAGTTCTTTTTAAACATATGTTTGGCATCGAAATACTCTTTAATTTAATAGCAGAAGTACTCGCAAAAGATGTTTCACACTTTCATCCCAAAAAACAATTTTGCCCATTCTGTAATGCCATTTGTAGCACATGTATCCAAAATGTGCTACAAATGGCAATACAGAATAGACAAAATGGTTTTTTGGGATGATGAACGAAAGATATTTGGCATTTGAAAGTATTCTATTTTCTAACAAAAACGCTATAAAAAATATGTCTAATCTTAATTTTTACATAAAAATTATTTTTGAATCACTCATAAAAAGTCACAAAAATTTGGATTTTTGTATGGTATGCTACCGGTTTAGCGTGAAACTTTGCACAGCTTTTTTTTACAAGAAAATAACAATCTGAGAGTTTGAAATTTTTTAAATCAAAAATAAAGGTACCCCCACACAAAATTTTCGTTTTCGAGCCAAATTTTGTATGGGAGGTACCCCAAATATGCATTGAAATTTCTTCAAACTCTCAGAATGTTATTTTCTTCAGCTCATTACGATATCATACAGGGATGGCTCGGCAGCCGGACATTGACACATGTTTTTTGACTGTTTTTACACAATTTTGACACTTTTTACATGATAAATGTTTCACAAAAAAGATAAATGTTACACAAAGTATTAAAATAGCAAAATAGATGAAATGGTTGGATTGGTAAGCTGTGTAAAATGCAAGAAATGAAGGAGAGAAAAAAATAATGTAAATGTTTCTATAATTTTTCAAGTTTGGATTGAATTTCATTGATAGCCCTGGCGGAGGAACAATTCGAAACAACGAAATAAAGAAAAGAAAAAAAAATTCGAGAAAATTCGTCGCAATGCATACGAATCAATCGAACTAAATCAATAAAAAAATTAAAATGGCGGATGGTGTTGTCGCAATTAAACTGGTCCAGTTCACATTTTGCTACTCTCGTTTGTTTTGAATTTTAAGTTTTTTAGTTAAGTTAAATTAAATAAAAATAAAAATTGGAATGTGAAAATATTTTCTTTTTTGAAAAAATCGTTATACACAAATGTGACAAGTGTCTAAAATGCACAGATTACCAATCCAACCGTTTCATCTATTTTGCTAATTTGATACTTTGTGTAACATTTGTCACATGCGTTTGTTAACGTCATTAAGGTAGCATACAGGCATGGCTCCCATACAAAAATGCAATTTTTTTGTGATTTTTTCAAGGAAACTGTATCAAAAATTGATTGTATCTCAAAACTTACTTCGGATTCGGTTTTCTCGTGCCAAAAAAACCCCTTCACATATTTTTGAATGTTTAAGTACACATAAAGTATGACTTTTGGACGAAAATTGGACTCTTTTTCATAGGTATCATTTGAATCGTTGCGGCGAAAGAGTAGCTCTTATTTTTCTCCAAATAATACTGCAACATAAAGTTTTTTATGAATAGTTTATTTGTTGTATTATGGACACTCGCCCAAATGTCGGACTATTTGTTTGAATTTTCAACTTCAATTTAATATTTAACATTTTTGATTTCATGAAAAAATATCACTTTATACACAATTCGATGCAGAATTTAATTGTGCTTCATTTCACGTTTCTCAAAAGATATTAATTTCCAAAAATGTATTATTTTTTTCCATTTTTTCGTCATAACATCGAAAATTCCAAATGTCGGATATTCGTCGTCCAATTCTCGGCTCCCTAATCTCGACATATTTCATGCATTTTCACTACGAAACTTGTAAACTTCAAGTTTTGACAGCCCATGAACGCACTATTTACATTGAGGTAAACAATACAAAATATTGGAGTTAAAATTATTAGATTGATATATTTTTGCTCCATATTTTATTTTACTTATTTTTCTATAGTAAAGTGGCAAAAATATTTAAAAATATTACGTTATTTCACTGATCTAGAATATTTTTGGTTTGAATTTCACAATGATCCAAATACGACTTTAACTGTCACAATTGTCAAATCCAAAGTGTTTCACTTTAAACTTCGGTGCTTTATGTGTCGGCAATTGGACGATTTATTCCGGAATAATATTACAGTGAAAAATGAAAAATAAATATAATTGTTTTTCTTTATATTTTCAAAATTTCTGTTCAATAATTAAATTAAACTATCTACAATTCGCCGATATAATTTTTTTTCCAAACTAGTTATTTTCTCATATAAAAAAACGCATTTTACCGGCTTGTCTCAAAATGACATAGTTTAACTTTTGACGTGAAAAAGTGATAAAAATGCCGAATTTTTTTTGAACGTAATTTGTGAAAGCAATAATAGATTTTTAATTAAAATTTGGATTATAATAAAGAGATTTGATATTGATCTTTCATAATTTACTTTTAAAAATGCAATTCAAATGAATTTTCAATTTTTAATTTCAATTCACCTCTCGGTATTCCGACATTTGGTCGTGTGTCGACATTTGGCAATCTACTGTACAACAAATAAACCGTGTGAAAAAAACTTCATGATGCAGTATTATTTGAAGAAAAATAAGAGCTACTCTTTCGCCGCAACGATTCATTTCAGACATGAAATTTCTAAAGTCGCTCAAAAACTGGATTTCAAGTTGCACTCCCAATAATTTGATAAAAGTGTAAAATAAAAAGGGGTTCAATTCAGTTACTCACAACATTAAAATTAGATGTGTTTCACGCAATAAGGGTCCTTATTTAAATTTGTATTCAGTTTGGATATAAAAAAGTAATTTGAGAATTTTTTTTGTTTAAATAAATGGAGGACGATGATATTTTGAAAATGTCTTTAAAAAAAAATTCATAGAAATTTATTTATCTTTTAATTAACAATGTTCGAAATATTCTTGTCATATTCTTGGTAACATCATGCTACTTAAGTTTTTCCAATTAAGCAATGAGTTTTACTTGTGTCGTCAACTTTCATTCATATAAAGTGAGAAATTTCACTATTGTACCATGGAGTAATTTCGAATTAAAGCACATCCCAATGATCATTGGTTCAATTTGAATTCATTGGCGAAAAGGCATCGAAATTCGAACCAAGATATTTTTATGCAAAAAACAAACAAGTTAGTGGAAGGAAAGTTCCAATTTCACAAAAGAAACCTAGCGTGTCGGCATCGGTATTGCTCAACAAACCAATACAAGAAAATAAACAACTCGCACCAGAAGATATTCTTGATTGCACATTGGTATATAGCAATTCTTTCTACGTATGTATGTTAGGCATATAAATTTTGTTTCATATAAATTGATTTCAGGTCGTTTTGAATTATCCATGGGCCATATATTCAGGCATTCTCGACATATTCAGGCGGAATGCGGTAATCGAAATAAACTTCGACGGATTCCATTACTTACGTGGTTAAGGAGCCAAATACAGAAGATTTTTAGCCGCTATGCGGATTTTCGTCGAGGCATGTTCAATGATCAGCCGCCGGCTCACAACTGGCAGAACAGGTGCCAATTCTAAGTATACAGCCAAACACATCTGCAGATTTTTCAATAAGGACTATAAACAGTAGTCTTTCTAGTGATAAATTCAATACGCAGATGAAAATCCATTTACAAAATGTAAATGGGTTACGAACAAAGTTATCGGAGTTTAATGATTGTGGATTGAGCGACAATTTACATGCTTTGTGAGACACTCTTGAATGATGCAATCAATACAGATGACATATAAAAATAGGGGGAGGGGTAAAAGTGAAATGTGACACGCGCAGCATTATTCTAGTTGAGGCATACATTCGGCCAGACTCATTAAATGAGGTCTATCAGGCAAACATGGATGCCTTGAACGAACTTATTTCAACATTTGATCCTGATGATGTACTAAAGAAATAGAATAGAGTCAATACAAAAGCAGTTTTTACTTTATGCGCTAAGGAGAATGAACTGGGACAGCTATAGACTTCCGAAATATGAGCATAGACTGCTGTTTTTACAAATGATTACGTGGCTCAAGTGTCTTTCATCTTCAAAATTATCCATGGAGATATGAAGTCAACTCATACATCAAATAGTTTGAAATATTACGATTCGGCGCATAATACCAGAGCCACACCGCTATTTGATATACCAATTAGAAAGAGTGATTACACAAAGTTTGAACCAATTAATTATATGTTAGCAACATTCAATGATTATTATACAAAAAAAAAATCCAAACAGTGATACTAATTTAATTTATTTAGAAGTAAATTTTTCTACAGTAAAACTGAGAATTAAAAATATTTAAAACAAAATCGATGAATTTAAAAAATAAATGAAATAATTTGTAATATAAATAATTATTATTTATCTCTTCCAAAACTGCTTAATGTAAGAATTAAATTGTTTTGTATTTATTTAAAATTATTTTGAATAAACCACCAAGGCGAAGGAACGCTGTTCGGTGCAGTTATTATTATTATTACTATTACTGTCAGGTGATTTCAATTTGCCAAACTTGTTATGGTATGTTGATGAAGATGAGCCGGATATTGCGATTGCTATCAATACAAGCAACACGAAAGAAAAAATTGTGTTGGATACTTGCAACGATTGAGCCCCAATCAAATTAACAAACACTACAATCAAAATGGTCGGATGTTGGATTTGGTTTGGACAAATGATGTCGATTTCTTCACTTGCAAAATTAGTGATGATCATTTGTTGAATCATGAAAGACATCATAATGC